CCATAAAAGCAGGAACTCTAATTTCAGACATTCTCTCTGAAGCTTGGAATTAAGGACTGAGTACAGTAATAAAAATATGATACCTAGTTCCCAAAATATAAGTCTTCTTCCCATGTTCTTCTTCAGTCTACCACAATTAATTTTTTCTCTAAAGAATTCTATTGCTAAAGGAGCCATTCGAGAACTAGCAACATTGTATGGTACCGAATATACGTATGGTCCAGGAGCTTCAACAATTTGTAAGTATTACTCTAACAGCAATACAACTATGGTAATGATTAGGTTATTGTTCATAAAAGCCTGTAATTAGACCATTACAGACAGTGTATACACACAGGGATTCTCCTACTTTTCAATTATCAGGCCTCTTGAGTACAGTATATGTGATTTGCAGAAGTGTTATAAAAAAGATTTCTCCTATTTTTCATAATATAATGCATTGACTATGATATGTAAGCAAGTAGAACTATACTGATGTAGTTCATTAACTTTAAATTTATGAACTTTCATGATTGATTAAAAAACAAAGGAATCAAGTATGGAAAAATTATCTATTAATGTGGAAAATATAATCATTCATGTGTCTCATACACTGTATAATGATGTTGGAAGAAAAACAGACTTGCTCTTCAGGTGAATATTAGGTAGTATGTCTAGTATGTCTAGATAGACATATGTTCTGGAAATTATGGGTACTGAAGATCCAAGAGGATGCCAAGTCATTGATATCATACATTAAATGTATGAAAAGCAGTTCTATTAACTTGTCCTCTTTCTTTTAGCATATGTATTCTTTCCTATTTACAGATCCTGCTGCTGGTGGCTCAGATGATTGGGCTTATGACCAGGGTATACAATATTCCTTCACCTTTGAACTTCGTGACAAAGGCCGATACGGTTTTGCTCTTCCTGAATCTCAGATAAAGCCAACTTGTGAAGAAACTATGATTGCTGTTAAATATATTGCTGAATATATCCTTAATTATTTGTACTAAAAAAGCTTTCCAAGCTGAATAAATAAAATATAATGCACAATTTCTTTTGTACATTTTCTGAATTTTCTTTGCCACCATAACATAGAACATAGAATAGAGTTGGAAAGGACCATGGAGGTTTTCTAGTCGAACCCTCAGCTTGAACAGAAAACCATTCCAGACAAATGGCTGTCCAGTCAAGTTCTGGAGGCAAGCTATTCCATTGGTTTATTGCTCATTGTTAGGACATTTCTCAATAGTCCTGGGTTGCTTCTCTCCTTGGTTAGTTTCCATCCATTGTTTCTTGTCTTGGCTTCTGGTGCTTTGGAAAATAGTTTGACATATATTCCCCTTGTCTTTGTAGGAGTCCCTCAGATATTGGTCCCTCAGATATATTATGTCTTCCCTAGGCTTTCTTTTCACTAGACTAGATGTACCCAATTTCTGCAACTGTTCTTCATATGTTTTAGCCTTTTGTTTGCTCTGGGTTCTTCAAAAACTGTATATCTGCCAGCCTCTCTAATATGCTATTGTTTAAATAATAATAATTGTTCTGAGGAAGTTAGAGTTCACATAGGTGAATGAGTAGATGAATGCAGGGCAGATTTAGGTTAAGGCTGATTTATCTAGCAGTATAAATATAGTAAATGGGATTGTGTTCTGGAATGGCCTTCTTACATCTTCATTTTGGCAATATTTCCTGTATCTGCAGAGAGGAGAAGCACACTCAAGAATGGCATGGCATGGCATGGCATGGCATGGCATGGCATGGCATGGCACGGCACAAAGGAGTCCTTCTCAGCCAGCACACCTATCACATGATAGAGTTCAATTCCCAAAATTCCCTATGTCATAAAGGCTCATCAAAAGGGTTTTACAGGAGAGGAAAAAGAAACTTTGGAAAATCCTATTTGTACAAGAGTGTATCTAGATTACAACAGACTTCTGTGTTGACTCTAATCAGATTCGTATGCAACTGACACTGTTCTATCTAGAAGTAGATAGAATAACAGTTGGCCAATTCTTCCTGTTTCTAGGCTTATAAATTTCAGATGTTCTTGCGATATGAAACTCAACCAAAAGACAGTATAATAAAATAAAATTTAAAAGACAAGATATATAGAGCACTTTGAGTCAAAACATTAGGCAGTCAGCAAAGGTGATATTCCAAATAATTGTGGTATGCTAAAATTAATAGAGGAAAGTTTGGTGTTCCTCAGTTATTCAACTGGTTAAACCAAACTTGTGAGGAAAGAATCAGAGAATTCATGAAGACATCAAGAATTCAACAGGCAAACTAGAAAGAAAAAAAGAAACAGTCAAGAAGAAATGTGAAGCATAACTGCTGAAGGTCTTCAAATCTCTCTATTCAGATGAATAGAGATTTATTTGAAGTGTCACATAAGGATCAACAGCCCTTTTAAAAATACAGTGGGAGACTGATGGTCTCTCCCACATGTTTCTCTCCTGTACATGTGAAAAAGGGAAAGCAAATCATGTAAAGCACATGGGTAGTAGAATTTCTCCAAAATTATCCAATATGAATCCACATATTATGACATTGTTCAACACCTACTTAATGTTGTAGGTATATGCTTTAGTTTAAAAGCAGCTGGTGTTCTGAATTACCATTTTATTCATTAATTGGTTATATTCATTTTTATTATTTGTATAAATAACTCAAGACATACCTAAAATTTCTTTATCCTCCTAATAACTCAAGACATACCTAAAATTTCTTTATCCTCCTATTTTCCCCATAAACAACAAAATTGCCATATATACGCTCTGTTTCTCCAAATCTCATTCAAAACTCTGACCTCAAATTGAACCAAATTACATCCACAGAAATCCAGATAGGGACATTTCTGGTACAAAGTTCCAGGATTAACTCAAATTATCTCCATGCACTCACAGAGAGTTGGCTTACCTTCGGTCAAAGGAAGCATTTGCTAGGATGGGAGCACACATTAGGATAAAGTAGCCAGCAAATGGAGCTAAAATAAACTGAAATTTTATTTGTTTACTAGCTGGATACATGTGCTTCGCTACGAAACTATGTGATTGGCTTTGATAAAGCTTGAAAATTAATGAGTAATTATGACCGGGCTTGATAAATTGATATTTAAAGCTTGTGTCAATTAAATCTATAATATATTTGCTGTGTTCACTCAGTAACTTCTGCAATTGGCTAACCAATTCTGGATTAACGCCTGGTAGATTCCACAGCGGATATCCTTCTCATTGTCATCATCACCAACAAAGTATATCTGGAGAAATGAAGGCTGCTGCTGAGGTCTCACCATGATACCCCCCTCCTGTGGTAGACCTGCCCCTGCACTGTGAATGTTGGCATAAAATTTCCCTCATTCACCTCACTGGCTCCAAAAGATGTTATTTGAAAGCATTCATTGTTCTTCTGGGCAGCAGAAAGAAAGTGTTCTGCCATTGGATGCTGGTGGGTGAGAAGGCTGTGTAAGGGTTCAGGGTAGGGCACATGGTGAGGGAGCTGGACTTTACCACCACTGCAGCACATCCCAGGAGTCTCATCCTGCCACTTTAGGGCATGGCACCAGGCACAGGGTAACTAAGGTCCAAGATCAACCACCTTTTCCCTGGAGTAATCAATCTGAGGTTCTTATTTAAATCAGACTTATACTTATTAGTCCAAGGCATTGATCTGATTTGTGATGTCTTTTTATTGTATTTTGCTGTAGCTGCCTGATTAACATAAGAGTTATTAGATGCATACTTTTTTACAGCCTTTCTACTGACTTTGGGATAACATGGATGATACTTATTTTGCAGTTTCCCTTACTTGTGTTTTCCTAATCGCATCTGTAAATCGTCTCCTGTGTTTTTTCCCTTTGTGGTGTTACAGTAGAAGGAACAGATTCATTGAACGTCAATATAAGAACTTAGTTGAGGCTGGGACACTATGCAGCAGAAATTTGGTTCACAATCCATTGGCTGAGTAGTAGTGGGTGATTGAAACTCATAAAGGAATATCTCTCCAGTTGTCTTGAGATCAGAAGCAGTTCCATAGGTGGAAGGCGTAAACATTTTGGTGAGGTACCAACGTTTAGTACTGTAAGGATCCCAGACCACTCCAGAGTGAAGGAGTGGAATGTCTGCCAGTTTGAACTGAGGTGATGGAATGTGAGGCAACTGGCAGTGATTGGGCTATGCAGGAGAAATCCAGTTCACAATCTGTTGGCTCAGTGGTGGTCGGTGATTGAAACACATAAGGGAATATCGCTCCCGCCACCTTGAGTTTGGAAGCAGTTCCATAGATTGAAGACATAGACATTTTGGTGAGGTACCAACATTTAGTACTGTAAGGAGCCCCAGACCGCTCCTGAGTGAAGGAGTGTAATGTCTACCAGTTTGAACTGACGTAATGGAGTGTGAAGCACTGGCAGTTGGAACAAAGTTCTTTTCAGATGGGGAGAGGGTTAGAAATCCTTAGCATAGAACTCCTTAGTGTGTTAATTACTGTATAAGAAATACTAATGATCTGGTGGTCACTTTGAAAAATCCTTTCTTAGAGAGCACTCATGCCAAATTTCAAGTTTGTAGGCTTTATGGTTCTGGAGATTGGATGAGTTGGCTTTTATATACTGTATATAAGATTTAGCAAATTTCTATTGCTGTCCATCTCACATATGTGATTCTGAGCAGCTTACAAAGGTAAAAACACAAAAACATTACAAAATTCATTCTGGGTCACAGCTATCTGTAGAGTCTTTTATGCTCTCTATCAGTATTGGGAGGAATGTTGTTTTCTTCCTGGTAGTTTTTGATAAGATTGTTGTTTACTGTTTGACTGTCTGAGTTGGTAGTTCCTTGATTGGAGTATTGTTTACTGCTTGATTGCTGGTCTGATACTAATGCTGATGTTAATCCTTTCTTATCTGGGTGTTGATTGCAGGAGAGAAGGTATTTTGCTTTTTTTCTTTTCTTTTTAGCTTTTTGGTGGTCTCTTTTAATTGGTGTAAATGTTGTTCCTCTCTATCTTACACCTTTCTAAGCTAATATGTGCTGAGGTATCCTGCAGAGCTGTTTATCTCCCACCATACAACTTGACACTTAATGGTATTTTTTATCTGATTGAGTTTTAGTTTTTCTTGTTACTTTTATTGCTCAGATTTTGTAATAATGAGTGGAAGACTAAAAGTGTATTAACTGGCAAATTCAAAAGCCATAATATAGTATCCAATGAAAGCTTTAGAGGAAGTCACCTGATTGCTTCTGGGTGCATATAAAGGCATATAAAAGAAGTAAGAATTTAGCTTTACAGACAAAGTGGAATCATGAGGTTCATTCTTACCTTTCTAGGGTTCCTTTTTACATCTCTGGGAGGTTTCCTCACACATTCCTTTGACAGGTAGATGTTTCTCATTGTGGTTATTTCCTGAAAGCAAAGTTATTGGTTTTACTAGCTTCATTACAATATGTAGGCATGTAGGCAACTATTAAATGCGATCTGGAATAGCAGTGTAATCCTGATGGAATGATTTACAACTATATATCAGATGAAGAGAGGAAGAAAATAGAACAAAATGTAACTTAATTTGATGGTAATGTTTTTTAAATTATGCTTTACTTTTATTGAAGTGACAAAGTATTTCGAGTGAAACTTGAGAATGAAAATCAACTAAATGTCTTGAAGGACCTGGCCTCTACAATACAGGTGAGGAGTCTCTTTAACCATACACACCATATTTTTTTTCACGTGATTCCACATAACTTTTGCAAATTAAAAAATGCTTCAATTATGTAAATAGGTTTTCAATGCATAGTGAAAGCTGCAAATGAAGAGAAGTTATTTCTGTAGTTTAGCTTATACAATCTCTATACATATTGTATGTGCAGATATATTTTAGCTTAAACTACTATCCAAATATTTACATGATTTTTTAAATATAAACCCTTGCAGTAAAACTATGCCTCAGAACATAAAGAGTAGGAAACTTTTTTGCATTTTTTAATTGTTTTGATCTGATAAGAGTGTCACATATGAAGTAACATTGCATGTCAACAATAAATATACTGTAAAATATTAATATAAAATATTTGAAAATTAATAACGATATGTTGTGAGGGATAAACATTCAAATATTGGTGATTATATGACTTTTTTATCATTATTTTATATGTATGTATGTATGTATGTATGTATGTATGTATGTATGTATGTATATATAAAAATTTAGGTTTCTTCGGGTATTTCCCACATCTTAAATCTTTTTGCTTTTATCATAGCGACATTTCGGCAGAATCTCATCTGTCATCCTCAGGCTTGTGTATTGGATTCTTTTTAATCTTGTGTGCCAGGCTTGGCAGCCATTTTTGTCTGAATTTGGTGCTGGCTTTCTGCTTTATTTGAATGGTTTTTTCCTCATCCTGATTGGCTGGGAGTCTAGGTCTGTTTTTATTAGTCTTCGAGTTCGCTGTGTTCTTGATTGGTTGGCAACATTGTGTTTTGTGCATTGGGGTTTCTTAGTGCAGCTTGGTTTCTTGTGAAGGGCTGATAATTATTTATTAGGAAGCTGGGTTTTATTTGGGTAGCTGGCTGGGACGTGTTTGGGGTGGAGGTATTGGGGGGGGGGTCTGTTTGTGTCCAGGTGCTTGCCTGGATTGTGGTATAGAGATTTTTTGGTTTGTGAATGCAGACTTCCAGATGATTGATAGTCTGGTGGAGTCATCTCTTCCATTCATACTATTAGGTCTTTTATCAATTTCTATGGCTTCTCTGATGATTCTGTAGCCGGGGTTTTCTATAGTAGCTAGGGTTTTGGTGCCACTGAAGTTGATGCTATGACCTGTGGCTTTCATATGTTGGACTAGTGAGGAAGTGTGTTCCAGCTTTTTTATTGCATTCTTGAGTTCTTCAAAAATCTCTATACCACAAAAAGATAGTAATAGTGATAATAATAATATACATATCTTTAATAATAATCACATAGTAATAGTAATATTAGCTTATCCATACTAGTAAACTTTCATTGTATAATTAATCATTCTCTTAAACTCTTTAGTTTCTAACCTCTGTTCCTGTCAGTTAACCATTGCTAAAACTAGTCCGATGTTAAAAAGTATTCTGTTTCTTCCTTCTCCTTTATTTTGAGTGTTAAACTGTCCATCTCTGCGCATTCTAATGCTTTTTTAGTAATACTTTTATCTGTAGGGATCTCTTCATTTTTCCACTGTTGTGCAAAAGCAATTCTCATTGTTGTTAATGTATGTAAAATTAGATATGTATTCCCTTTATTATACTGTTCTAGTAAAATACCCAACAAAAATATTTCCAGTTTTAAAGCAATATGTTGCTTTATCAATTTTTCTAACCACGTGTGTATTTTGGATATTCTATAGAGTTAGTTAAATGGCAGAAATTGTGGAACAGAAATTATAAATTAACAATGTCAAATGCCTATAATGAAAATCTATATAAAATAATTTACAGAGGGCACTTACCAATAGCAAGACTGGCAAAGATGCTTGAAAACATGTCCGCCAAATGTTGGAAATTAATCAGATACCGGATTTGTATTATCATATGTGATGGACACGTCCAAAGGCAAAAAAATATTGGACAAAAAGACATTTTGTTCTAAAGACATATCTTTAGAAGTTATGCTAAAATCTATAAAGTAGAAAACAGTACATGAGGGCATTCCCTTAATGCAATCACTTTGTAGCTTCATACTGATTATTCAATGGCCTCATATTATCAATGGACATTCTTTTCTCCCAAAGTTTTTCTGATGAATAGTCCTCAGTTACAATGTTAATTATTACTCTGAGCACCAGTCTATTCATTCAAGCCATCATAGCTTCAAACAGTCTCTGAACTAGTAGTCATTAATTGAGAGTACAGATACTTTTGCTCTGCTACACATACATAGAAGTCATCGAGATAATGAATTTGTTTGCACAGAAAATAAAACAGGATGACTCTGTTAGATATAGTAAAATGTCTATATTGAGCAGCCAATGATGTGGGTGATGGCAGTAAAGTTTTAAAGTTCTATTTCCTGGTTGAGCAAAATGGAAAATTCTGTATCATTAAGGCTGAAGTTAGACTCAACTAACCTGTATAGGGCCAGTTGTTAGAAAACAATATCCTATTCTGGCTCGCATAAAAATTTCTTGTATCTTGTACCACAAGAAATATTTCAAGGTTAATAGTTTATTTTTTCTCAAATTGAGCCTGTTCTGTATTTAGGCAGCCCAGTTGAAAATCCATTTTTGCATGCCTGTGCAATTTATACATTTCAAGGCTGCCATCAATGAAGCACTGATGAGATTTCAGGATGTAGACAGACCAATCAGTAGTCTTGGAATTTGATCAAAATGGCTCAGTCAAGGGAGGAACCAATGAGGAATCAAATTTCTTGGGCTCACAAGACAAGGACCAAACATAAATCAGCTTTCAGAGTTTATGCAAGAACCCATTCAGCTCAGTTGAGTTGCCTATGTGCTGCTGAGAAGTACGCCACAAGGCAGCCCAATCTGTCTCTGAAGATACCATCTACAGTTGCTAGCAAAACATTAGAGCAAAAGAAAATTACCAGTATTTCTCTCTAACTGATAAAAAAAAATATTTTTTTTGCTACATGATTCCTCTTTTCTGTTCACATTCTTAAAAATAAACTTGCCATACTTTTCTTTTCACCTAGTTTGACTTTTGGCATCCTCATTCTGTTCAACATGTTCTTATTGGAAAAGAAGTGGATTTCAGAGTCAGTTCAGACGAGACAAACTTTGTTCAAAAGATCCTGGAGCAAAATCAAATCCAATACAGGTATGTGGTTCACAATTCAGATTCATGAGAATGTATACTATAAATAAATTATCAGCAATTTAATCAACAAAATCCAAATAGAATTTCTTTTGGAGACAGACAGAAGAAAGGAGACAGAGATGAAGAGTAAATATATGTCAATTAATTAAAGACAATTTAAATCAACCTAAAAGAACTACCAGTACTCTTTAATGCGGAGTATGCAGCAAATCAAGGGCCACACTTTAAAAGTAAATGGGGCCAAAAAGACATTTTTGAATAAGTTTCAGGGGTTTTTCAAGGGGAAGAACAGATGCCTCGAATCTCTTCCAGGCTTAAAACATCCATTTTACCCTTAACATTCCTCTCAAACTTCAAAATTTATGAACAAAAAAAAAGATATGAGGTAAACAGGATTGATTATCTTGGTTTAATCCAGTTTTTAAAATAGTATATTGTGCTAGATCTACATCTACAATATTATGTATATACTTATGTCTGGTGTAAGTCCCTTTACATCAGTGCTGCTTATTCTTGAATAAAAGGTAATCAATGCAAAATTCTATGTTTCTATTCAATCTTTCTGCTTGATTCTTAATCTTTTCCCTGTATAAACATAAAATTTGACATTCTTTTTTTTTTTGAACAACCATATTCCTCTTCTCTTACTACTGCTCCTTCAATAATATATCAATTCAACTTCCTGACTGTCTCTTGTGATATAGTATTGCAATAACTATAGATTTTAAAATCCAGAGACATTAGAAGCAGTGGGAGTTCCTCCACTGATTTCATCTAAATATCATTTCTATTTAATGAGGGCAATCCAATACAAAACAGAAAAATAGGAAGTTAGCAAACAATAAATGATACTTAAGCAGGCTTTGATTTTTCAGTTATTTTGCTAAACTGAACAATACATTTATAATAGAAATAGCTAATTTATGCCATCATGACTGTATGTGTGCTTTCTGGATACCACAAGATCAGTTATTCATTTCTGCCTTTATCAAACTACTCTACTTCCTGTCTTAAACAGAGGCAAAGTATTAAAGGCTGCATAAAGTAACATGATGTTGTATTTCTGATGCAGTTATTAATCTGATTGCCCATGATTGACAACTTCCCCACCATTCTCAGTTTAAAAACCTATTTCAGAAAGGTTCACCATATTATTTTAAACCTAATGTTTTATTTCCTTTTGTAGATATAAAATAATCCATTCACCAGTGTTCACATATTCTGCTAATACATGAAATTTTTTATGATCCATCCATCATTTATTTATTTAAAGAATGTATATATTAAAGCAGTGATGAACTTTGGGGCTGAATGCCTCTGGTAATTTTCTTTTGCTCTGATGTTTTGCTAGCAACTGTAGATGGTATCTTCAGAGACAGATTGGGCTGCCTTGTGGCGTACTTCTCAGCAGCACACAGGCAACTCAATTGAGCTGAATGGGCTTTTACATAAACTCTGAAAGCTGATCTATGTTTGGTCCATGTCTTGTGAGCCCAAGAAATTTGATTCCTCATTGGTTCCTCCCTTGACTGAGCCATTTTGATCAAATTCCAAGACTACTGATTGGTCTGTCTACATCCTGAAATCTCATCAGTGCTTCATTGATGGCAGCCTTGAAATTTATAAATTGCACAGGCATGCAAAAATGGATGTTCAACTGGGCTGCCTAAATACAGAACAGGCTCAATTTGAGAAAAAATAAACTATTAATCTTGAAATATAAATATTTATATACAAGTAGAAAGTGACCTAGCGCTTGGAAGTAGTGTTTTAAAGCAACTGCCCAGGAACTATGTGACATCTGTTGTGATTCGCCAGCAGCCCGTGCAGACTGCAGCAGAATCAGACAATGGGGAAGAATGGGGCCAGTCCAGGAGTCTGAGAGGACTCAGATAAGGGTCCTGCAGAGATGGGGCCAGGACCATCTGGGAGTGGTGTGCTGACTGGAGCCTCTGGAGTCTGGCAGCAGTGAGGCAGAGGAACCAAGGGAGCCTGTTCCCAGTGTGCATGTGTGCAGAGCTGTTCGAAGGCAAGAGCAGCTGAGACAAAAGGGGCAAGTTGGGAGTAAGGCTGGGAGGTGATTGCCCTTCACATAAAGTATAAAGGACAAACAAAGGTGAAGAAACCTTTGTAGGAAGCAAAGTCATTCGTTCTGTTTGTATTAATCCTTGAAGCTCTGTGTGGACTGTGTACTTCAGTTGGTTTTTTATAGTTAATTTGGCACTTTTGTTGTTGGCAGCAATTCAAAGGAAAGAAAGGTGAGTGCTTTCCCATTACAGGCTGGGAACATAATTCCCAGCATTGAAATAAAACAGGAGTTGTTTTATCTAAGCATGTGCTTAATTATGGTCTTGGAAGGCTTGGTCAGAACAACATCATAGGAAAGGGTTAGGGTTAGGGAGCAGTGGTGGGATTAAAAAAAAAAACTACTGGTTCTATGGGTGTTGGCTTGGCATGGCTTGGTGGGCATGGCAGGGGAAGGATACTGTAAAATCTCTATTCACACCCCACTCCTGGGGGAAGGTTACTGCAAAATCCCATTCCCTCCCCACCTCACTAACCTGGTGTCCAGCTCCATTTCCCTGTGCAGGGCAACAAAAGAAGACCCAGCCAATAATCTGGGATTTGGGAGACAAAGAATGGATGGGGCGGGGCCAGTCAGAGATGGTATTCTAAGAACTACTCAAAATTTCCACTACTGGTTCTCCAGAACTGGTCAGAATCTGCTGAATACCATCTCTGGAAGCAGGTGGCTTGGTGGTTGCTTCACTTAGGGGTAAGATACAATGCAGCCCTTGCCAGTCACTGGATCAATCCTGTCCTCAGATACATCAAGATGGCAACCATAATTGTATCATCAAAGTCTTGTCCCTTTTTTAAAAGGGAGTGAGGCTTTGGTCATTTAATTGTGGATACTAAATCTACTTTTTTAAAATTCCCTATCATTATTCCTATAAATTTACAGATTAATGTAAGCCAAACACAAAGGTGGTATTCAGCAGGTTCTTACCAGTTCTGGTAAGATAGCGGAAATTTTGAGTAGTTTGGAGAACCGTCAAATACCACGTCTGACTGGCTCTGCCCCCATCTATTCTCTGCCTCCCAAGTCCCAGCTGATCAGTTGGATCTTCTTTTGTTGCCCTGAACATGAGAATGGAGCTGGAAAGCAGGTTAGTGGGATGCGGAAGAAATGGGATTTTGCAGCAATCTTCCCCTGGAGTGTTGTGGAAATGGAGATTTTACAATATCCTTCCCCTGCCATGCCCACCAAGCCACAGCCACAGAACTGGTAATAAAATTTTTTGAATCCCACCACTGGGGAGGTAGTCCACTTGTTTATAATGCAAGTTTTAACAAAGCGAAAAAGAGAGAAAGAAGGAATACTTTTTAATGTAGCTATGTGAGCCTGTAGGAAGACCTGGGCCAAAGAAATCCTAAACAAAAACAAAAAGATTTCAGGGAAAGCAAGGCTACATATTTAATATAATTATGCTTCCTATCACAGAATTTTATTCCACAATCTACAAGATGAAATTGAGAAACAGTTGGATGGAGGGAAACATTTCCGTAAGAAGTATTTCTACACAAGATATAATGAGTGGGAAAAGGTATTATGCATTGAAAGAATTTTTTTTTAAAATTACTAGTCAAGGGAGGTACTAATACCACTCTATAAAGCATTAGTAAGACCACACCTAGAGTACTCCATCCACATTACAAGAAAGATGTTGAGACTCTAGAAAAAGTACAGAGAAGAGCAACCAGGATGATTAGGGGACTGGAGACGGTTATCAAGAACAGTTGCAGGAACTGGGCTTGGCTAGTCTAGTAAAGAGAAGGACCAGGGGAGATATGATAGCAGTGTTCCAATATTTGAGGGGCTGCCACACAGAGGAAGGAGTCAAGATATTTTCTAAAGTGCCTGTAGGCCAGACAAGGAATGGAAACTGAACAAGGAGAGATTTAACCTGGAAATAAGGAGAAACTTTCTGACAGTGAGAACAATCAACTAATGGAACAGCTTGCCCTCAGAAATTGTGGGAGTGCCATCACTTGAGACTTTCAAGAAGAGATTGGACTGCCATCTGTCAGAAATGGTGTAGGGTCTCCCGCTTGGGCAGGGGGTTGGACTAGATGACCTACAAGGTCCCTTCCAATTCTGATTATCTGTTATCTTTACTTAGATAATTTAAAATAACAAAGCATATTCTAATCCTTTAAGAGTCTCTTAATTCTATTACTATGTGATCCTCTTAGATCGCTGCATGGACTAAACGAATGGCCAAAAAACATGCCAAACTAATCTCCAGGATTGAGATTGGAAAGACTTATGAGGATCGGCCTATGTATGTCCTTAAGGTAAAAGCGTCAGTATAATTCAAGCATTTAATGAATAAGTGTACATCTACAGCCAATGCATAATGAGAAAGTAGATTAACAGATAGTTGTAGTATTGAACTGCATTAGCTGACACAAGGATAAACTATTATACAATGGAAAGTATGAGTAAACCTATCTAGTTCATTCAATGTCATACATTTTTAAAAATCATTCCATCAAATGTTCATCTCTTTTGTTTTAAAATGTAGTAAAATGTACATGCATTTTATTACACAACTTTCTCAGAATACGATTTTACATGTCTGGTTCCCTAAAATAAGTAATTTTCACCAAAAATTTCAATAAAACTAGAAGCAAGCAAATCAAAAGAAATGCAAATTAATTCTAACATCAGAAACAGATCAGTTATTATGCAAAGTAAACATAAGAAAGTTGTAAAAACTCAATTTTCCTTGCAAACAGGTTGGGAAACAGAGTTACCAAAAGAAAGCTATATTTATGGATTGTGGTATTCATGCACGAGAGTGGATCTCGCCAGCCTTTTGCCAATGGTTTGTAAAGGAGGTTAGTAAAATATGCATAATCAAAACTGTCATGAACTCAGGAATATATTCACCATAAGTAAATAATTGAGTTAGGATAGGACAGGCACTATAGCATCAGTTTGCATGTGTGCATCTTCAACTAAAAGTTAATATATGTAGCTGAGTCCTTAGTCCCCCTTGATTATTTGTTCACAGGCATTTCATTACCCAGCTAGATAACAATATCAGTATAAGTAAAGGTAAGTAAGCTCACTCATTCAGTAACTTGCCTGGCAGTTTTGATAGGGAAGTGGTTTTGTTCTTCATAATTGTTTGATGAAGCTATTGTTTTCTGCTTGATTGTTTGTCTAGTGTTGTTCTCTGCTTATCTGGGTGTTGACTGCAGGATATGCCTTTTTTGTTTCCTTCTTTTTTAGAAAGCAGCTATTTGAGGGGAACTGAAAGGTACAAGCTATTAGAAATCTGCTGATTTAGCCCTCATATTTGTGTGTGTGTGTGTGTGTGTGTGTGTGTTCTCTGTAGGCATCTGGCTGGCCACAGTTAGACAAAGAATATTGGGCATGATAATCTCTTGATCTGATTCCTCTAGGCTTGTATTAGATTCTTCCATGCCAGTCTCTCCAACCCTAAGTAATGTTCTGAAGCCCTCCTGGAAGTTTTCCATATAAGGTGAAACAGGAGAGAGCATTCAAGAAAGAATGATATTTGCTTTTCCTCTGAAAAGAAATTTGCCCATAACTAATTCTAACATCAGTAGGTGCCAGAAAAAACACAACCAATGTAAATATTGTAAAATAATTGTAAATTATTATTTACATTATAGATTTAATTAGTGTAAGCTACTATAGATAGATAAGGAAGACAGCATTAAAATCTACTTTAAAAAATAAATATTGCAAAGTTTCCAATATTCTCAGTTTATTGAACATTGTTTTATTTTAATATGTGTACTTTTTCTGTTACAGGCTGTCACAACTTATGGAATAGACAAGGACATGACACTACTCTTAGACAACATAAATTTCTATGTTCTCCCTGTGTTCAACGTAGATGGTTATGTCTGGACATGGACCAAAGTATTATTCATGTTTATTCCTTTCTAGAAAACACCATTTCTTTTGCTAAAATGAATTATGGGGACAGTAGAAAGTTTTAAACAATGATTTCTTACTACCAATGTGTTAGAATATAATCTCTATCTGTAAAGATTATATGTGTTCTAACACCAAAAAAATGAAATTCATCACAGAGGAATATGTCTATCTGTCCTTCACTGGTGTTCTTTTTCCTACCATAATTAATATTAAAAGCATAGCTGCTTCTTCATGTTATCCTTTTGTTGACTGAAGACAGCAAAAATCATAAGTTAGGGCTTCATTAGTCTTCATATCAGTTAATTACTTCCAAGGATTTAAAAAATGGAACATGCAAATTAAAACAAATGAGTATATTGTTATCTGATATTTTACAGATTATAGCTCCCTTCCTCATACAGAGCAGGAAGAAATCCATCAGAAATTATAGTATATAATAAGCAGCATATAGGAGTATTAGTCTTCTCTTAGATGAATACATCTTTTAATTACTCAAATGTCATCCTTACTTGGATGTCAGTACAGCAAGACAGTAGGATTATACTTACTGAGACCACTGACAAACAACAACTCAGATTTAAAATGTAATAAATGTAGTGGGTAAGCAATTCCAAAAGTTAATGTATATGCATTATTTTTACTTAGAGATAAAAAATAAAAGTAACTTGGAAGTTATACCACTGATAAGATAATGTAAAGAGAACATGTCTGGAAGCGGTATACAGCACCACAGTCTTTCTACCCACTTATATTATTTGTACATAGTTTGCAAATAAATGGATAATACTTTCAGAATTAAGAAATAAACATCAGAAATAATGGACTTCATTTTTGCCTTACAGGACCGTATGTGGAGAAAGAACCGTTCCAATAACTCTAACAGTGATTGCATCGGCACTGACCTAAACAGGAATTTCAACGCTTCATGGGGCTGTAAGTAGAATGTAAGATATATGAGAAAAGAGAATGATGTGATTTCCTTAAATCCCACAAGCAAATAACAATCACAGAATAAGTTGAAAAAAACAACAACTTCTGCAAGGTGGTCAAGGTAAACACAAATGATGAAAGCAGCATCATGTTGATGCAACAGAAGCTCTTGCACTTTTATACGTGCTTCATGATATCAATAGCACTTATACATATATACCACTTCACAGTGCTTTACAGCCCTTCCTAAGAGGTTTACAGAGTTAGTATATTGCCCCCAACAATCTGGGTCCTCATTTTACCTGCCTCAGATGGATGGAAGGCTGAGTCAACCTTAAGCCAGTGATAATTGAACTGCCGAACTGCTGACAGCCGGCAGTCAGCAGAAATAGCTTGCAGTACTACATTCTAATCACTGCGCCATCATGGCTCATGATGTCACAAGTACACACAAAAGGGGTAGAGCTATTTTAGTCATTCTGGGGGTAAAAGTAATAGATTCTGAGATCACTTATGCATGGAAGTCAATTAGTTTTTCTAATGTACAGGATTAATGCATAGGACACATAACAGAATCAAGGACAATATCCAATTTGTTCTGATAGCCCTACATTATGAGAAATATTAAAGTATTGAATAATTGGGATGTGCTAATCCTTTTTTTCAAAAAGCTGTTATTTGTTCAACAAAGAATCAGAACTATGCCTATAAGACTAGGATTCTCAAACTATGTATAAATCACCAATGTTTCAAGGCTTTCATTATCTTGTTATCACAAATTCAAAGCCGTAGGAATTTTTACCTAAAGAACATATTCTGTATGTCCATCCTGTGCATCAGTATTGGGAAGAAATACAAATAGCTTTCATATCAGCAATTCCTCTTAATATTTTTCCTTGCAGCAGACAACTATGAGGAAGAATTGCGTGACCCTTGTGAATTGGTATACTGTGGTTCCTCAGCTGAATCTGAGCCAGAAACAAAGGCAGTCACAACCTTTATTCGGGCACACCTTGCTTCTATCAAAGGATATATAACCATCCACGCCTATTCTCAGATGCTACTTTTTCCTTATGGCTATACAGAAGAAAAAACACCTATTCATGACAAACTGGTATGTAGAAAAAGGGAGGTTTGCATCAGGCCAGCACAAAAATGAATAGCCTTAGGACCATATGCAATCTCTAGAACTCTTCTGGGAGCTTACGAAAAAATACCAAACTAGATGAGCTAATCATTGTGAATATCAGTAGAACATTTTGTTGCTATTTCAAGGTTAGACATAAAAAAACCCTGCAGAAAACTGCAGTGAAAACCCTGAAACAGGCTCAAAGATAAGTTTTAAAAATTAAAGACAAAGAAAATACTCACCTCTTTCACTGTCTTTGCCGCCTTTCAAACTTTAAAATGACTTCCAGCCATCCCAAAAGTTTCTGCGTGCCCTTTTTATTTGTTTATTTAATTTTAAGTGTTTAACCACATTTGTTTGTTGTCCCATTTGTTTTTTATTTAATTTATTTATATTTCATATGTCTAGACCACCTATCTCCCTCAAGGAGAAGCTCTGAGTGGTGTACATATAATATATAAAACAGCATATAAAGTTAACATTAGAATATTATAATTAATTTAAATTAAACATTTTAAAATTATAAGTTTATAACATAAATTTTTAAAGAAATAAAAAATGGCCAAGATGGCCATTTAACATTGGTTAATAAAAGGCAGATGAGGGCTTTCCAGGCATCAGTCAACCCCACAATTGCATAGTCCTTTGTGCCCCCCCCCCCCCCCGCAAGGCAGCAGAGCCAAATTTGACCCCTTTACAGAAGGCCAGGAGAGTGGGGGCTAGCCTCACCTTTAGGGAAAAGTTATTCCATAATACAGGGGCTGAGAAGGCTCTCTTCCTAGACCCCACCAGTCAAAATTATTTGACTCTTGGAGTCTTTAGCATACTTTCCCTATCTGAACAAGTGAGATAGGCTGATGGGAGGGATGAAGCCAGTTCCATAGATAGCCTGTCCCCAAGCCACGTAAGGCTTTATACGTGATGGATTTGATCCGGACACAAACTGGCACCAAGTGCAGTTTCCAGTTTGCGCCCTTCTTTGGTCACTCAATACACACAGAGCAAATTGTTTATTGTTTTCATGTAATAAGTCACCTAGAATTCTATTTTTTTAATTTGGCATATATTAAGAGTGAAACAGACTTTCCCCAAGAGAATTTTTTCCCCTTAAACAGCTTTCCCAAATTATACATTTTAATGCAATTTTTGACCTGTGGGCTATTTCAAGACATAGATCAGGGAACTTTGTGAATAATCACAGAAGAATCCATCTTGGCAGATCATACCATTTTATAGCTCCTCATCCATCTTCTCTGCCTGCTTGTTTGCTTGGTGAGAGATAGCACATGGATAGGAAACTCAAGAAGGAGAAGAAGAAGCAGCAGCTCTTTACAGCAGGCCGAAACTGGCAGCAGGCCTGTTGTGAAGAATAGGCATTGGCAAAGTGCCCAACAATGCTGGTTTTGACACCATCCAGCCCCAGAAAAAGGCTTGTAAAAGCCGCTCTTCATCTTTCCACCCAGTACGTACTATCACAAAGTTCTTGCTAGTTTTTAAAATAATCTGAACTTTGGCAATTACCTCACATTCAAAATGAGATTGTTTTTCTTTTCAGAAACAAGTTTGAAAGGTTCCCCTGCCCAATACAAGCAGATGCCAACAAGGATCATTTTCCATTAGTGGTGTCTGGTGAGATAATATGAAAATATAGAAAGTTCCGATTAAGAAACCATTTCCTTTTATAGCCTGAACACTGAATTGTTCATTGATTATCAAAAGTCCACATTCTAAATAAATAGACCAAAATGAAAGGAATAACCAGATGGTTATTGTTTATCTACTACCTTTAGATTGCCTCTCTGAATTCACATGTAACATATAGCAGAAGGTGCAGTTGGGAGGTGATCTGGGATGGGTGGTGGTAATTTTTTGACTATAAATAAAAATGTCCTCTTGGGCATGGCTCATAAGAAAAGCAATAGGATGCAAATAAATTAACAAGAACTTTTAACAAAATTGTTCTCACTGGAATGGAGCGTAGTCAGCTTCTGAAAACAACAAGCAACACCAAAGAGTATCTGACCATTGACCATAATCAATGATGAATAGAACAAAACAGAACACAACAAAACAAAACACAATACAATTCAATGCATAATAATTAACCCAGAATCATAATGCAGCAGGGTCCTTGGTGCTCTCTAAGCTTGGTTGTTTTTTTGCAGACATTTCATTACCAAAGTAGGTAATATCATCAATGCGAGTAAGGTGCTAGTAACATAATCAACGCTAATGAACTTCTTACTAGCACTGATAATGTTACCTATTTTGGGTAGTGAAACATCTGCCAGAAGACAACCAAATTCAGAGAGCACTGAGGACCCCTTCATTTCAATCCTGAGCTACAAATATTCTCCTTTATTGGTACTCATATTGCAGAAATAGCTTGTATCTGTTTAAAGTTTCACAGATTAATGGATTGCGAAATGTATAGCTCATCTGCTCCATGAGACCATTTAAAGATCTGTGGTGTCCTTGGTGCTCTCTGAGTTTGGTTGTTTACTTGCAAGCAAACAATTCAAAAAGCACCAAGGACTTGTTCAACCCTGAGCTGCATGTATTCTCTTCTATTGATTCTAGACAAACCTTTATTTTGCAAATTGCCTGCCAATGATTTGCCACTGCAACCTATTTGTAGGTTAGCAAGTTAGAGAAGACTGCTAAATTTGCAGGATACTATAAATGCTAATCATCTAATATTAGAATTTAGTTTCCCATCTCTGAAATTCATTTTTGCCCAAGGTAAAGAAGATGCTATGTCACCTGCCTACATAGTATTAATGTTCTCTAAACAACATAGGTACATTTTACATTTTACAAAAATGACAGAGAAATCTTCAAAACAGGGGAAAACTGAATTAATTCATTAAAATATGTTAAAATGTGTCGGTATATAAAAATGTTTTGTCTTGGCATCAAAAAGGTTAAAACCAAGCTAGGTTCTTATGTAACAGAAATGTAACCACTGAGAAAGCGCCATCTTTGTAAGTTATCTTTGTGCTTCTGAAGAACAAAACCTGCAGGAAAAAAGCCTCAGCAGATTATCTTAAAGAATTGTCTTGGACAGATGAAACAAAGAAAAGTGTATTATATACCTTTCATCTCAATAGATGTAGAAGTTGGCAATCCTTCAAATGAAAGATCCTAGGCTTTCTATTAAGGATTAAAAACCATTTATGTGCATATTCTAATACACAAATGGAGAGGCATATTCAGATCCTGGCTTGCATGCAGACTATTGTTGCCGTCTCAGCAGGAGACATGGAACACATTAGGTATACATCTGTATGACAACACATCTCTAGATGCAGCACGAATTATTCAGTATATTTTCTGTCCAAATTGTACAGCTTGGATAGGGATAAAATTCCCAAATGTCTTTCAACAGAAGTGGGAATCCAAATTCATTGTTTGTGGCCTCTAGTCACATCAATGCTCCGTAATTACTTGTGAACTGGGGCCCAAATCTAGGATTGTCCAGGAGCTTTAAAATCAACCAAAATTTAATTCACTTGTGACACCACATAGGGCTCAGTTAGCAGGTGTTAAATAGGACCTCAGATGCTTGTCATACTGGGCTAGAGGAACAAATATCAATTCCTGGATGAAGGCAAATTCCTATGTTCCTATAAATTATCTGAAAGTGATTGGGATATCATTGAATTTGTATGTAGTTGAATTTGCCAAGAAAGAAAGGAGAATCTGGTTTATTGATCTAATATTTCTTCTTTTCAAATACAGAATAAATTGGCTAAGGAAGCTGTGGGTGCTTTACGTAGCCTCTATCAAACAGAGTATATATATGGAGCAATCGCAACCACAATTTGTAAGTATTTGTATAAGCAAAATTCTGCTTCAAAACGTTTTATATGCTTTTTACACTGAAAAGTCTGCATATCTGCTTTGACATCTTGGGATATTTTATTCTGTAACTTATAAATACGTAAGAGTGAACACTACAGGGCATTGTGGGAAGGTACAAACATCATTCATCTTGGGCAGAAGAGGAGATCTATGACAAGCAGAATCTGTGGGATGGTGGAAAATTCTGCCACCAGAACTATGCCTCATACTCTACAAGTGGAGAGAATCTGGAGTTATCTTAGGAACATGCAGAATCTTAGATTTTCTCATCTGCATATTCTCATTTCTTTGACCCGACCCCAACCGTTTTCTGATAGATTTCAAAAAGGAAAGACTTTATTTTTTTTTTAAAAAAAAGCTCAGACTCCAAGAGTACCTTACAGTCAGAATCTTTTTAAGATTCTTTTTTTTTAATAAAGTTTTATTTGGGTTTTCACACACACAAAATATAAGTAAAACATCTTTTTTGAAAATAGCATGGTCCCAGGTTGAACTTCTTTATACAAGACACACACTCAATTTCATGCTCATTTTTGTGTTCTATTCCATATCTTATTACTGTTCTGCCTTTTCTATATAGTTTTTCCCCTCTTTTAATTTTCTCAATTTTATTTTGATTATCTCATCTCAATTCAAATCATTATATTTATACTTTTGTCTGTTCTGTTTCAATTTCATATTATCTTTTCTCATTAAACAAATTTTCTCCAGTAGGTACTAATTAGAGTATGACACCTTTATATCTTTTATTTTTATCCATTCAACTCTTATTTAAACTTCGATATATACCTTAAGGTTATGACATTCAATATAATACATAATACATAACTTCCAATCGAATTCTGCTTGGTACGTTCTTATAATGCACACTATAA